CCACCCACCCATCCATCCACCCCTCCACCCATTCATCCATCCATCCATCCACCCACCCACCCACCCACCCACCTACCTACCCATGCCTGTCCCTCCTGCTAACTCCTCCCCTCTCTCTCCTGTGCACCCACTCGCTCACTCACTACCCCACGGATATTTGCTAAGTGCTGGCAGCAGGTGTTGAGGGGACCTGCCCACCATGTGCTGGCTGCAGACCTCCTGCACGTTCCTTTGAAAGTCTGTGCTCAAAGTCTCCAGGGCAGAGGAAGCTGCTGCAGGAGCAAGGCTCCTCCTCAGCCACGGTGGCAGGAGATGGACAGAGGGGTGGGCAGTCCAGKGAGGGTGGCCAGCCTGGCAGGTGGCCACACCAGTCTTCCCAGGCCAGAGCATGGGCGCTCTGGTGGCCTTACCAGTACCCTCTGCTGCCTGTCCTCTGGGATAAACAGAGGGAGAGTGGGCCTGTCCCCTCCTGTCCAGGCCTCCCCCTGAGCAGGAGCCCAGGGTTGTAATGAGCTTTCCTGCCCCCCCTGGGGGCACCCTGGGTTCTCACTCTGGAGCCCTGGACGTCAGCCTGGCTGAGCTGAGATGGGAGGATGCAAAGATGGATTAGCTGCYCAGGGGCACAGACTAGGGGAGGCAGGGGCCTGGCCATGCAGGAGGGCAGCAGGGGGGGAGTCCCAGGCATGTCCTTGTCCTCAGGAGACTTCTGGTCCAGCAGGGGCAGGCAGAGGCATGGGCTCTAGGGAAGGGGTGGGGAGGGAGGCTGGGAGCTGCTTTCTACTATCCAGTGCCCTTCAGCACCTCAGAGCCCTGCTCTGTCTTAGGGGACGACCGCAGCCTGTCCAGCTCCTCCTCCGAGGCCAGCCACTCAGACACCAGCGCCAGCAGCAGGCTCACCCCGTGGCCGGAGCAGTCCTCGTCCTTGGCAGGCTCGTCACAGGAGGGGCCGGGGCTGGCGGCTGCCCAGGCCCCCGGGGAGGCCACGCTGGGTGCCTCAAGGCTGCCCCCGAAACCGTTGCGGCCGCGGCAGCTGCAGGAGGTCGGCCGCCAGAGCTCCTCGGACAGCGGCATCGCCACGGGCAGCCACTCCTCCTACTCAGGCAGCTTCTCGTCCTACGCCGACAGCAGCCTGGACGTGTGGCGGGCGGGCGGCGAGGAGTGCGGCTCGCTGCTCAGCCTGCCGCCGGCCGCAGGGGCTCCTGAGCCCAGCCTGTGTGCCTGCCCGCCCGGGGTGGCGGAGTACCAGGTGCCCACCTCTCTGCGGCACCACTACGACACGCCCCGCAGCCTGCGCCAGGCCCCCCGGGACCCGGGCGCAGCCTCCCAGGGTGGCCCCGACCACGGCGCGACCACGGACTCGGGCAGTCAGGCGTCGGCCGGGTGTCCTTCCGGCTGGCTGGTCACAAGACGGCGGGGACAGGCGACAGAGGCCCCAGGCAGTGAGGCCACACTGCCCAGCCCAGCCCCCGGCGAGCCCTGGGAAGCAGGCGGGCCCCACCCCGGGCCACCTCCAGCTTTCTTTTCGGCATGTCCAGTCTGTGGAGGACTCAAGGTAAACCCCCCTCCCTGACCGCAGGGCGGCCCGCGGCTGTGAGGGGCTGGACTCTGCCCCTGGACAGGAGCAGGCGGAGTGGGCCTGTCTGCAGAGGCAGCGCTCCGACGCGTTTTGAGAAGCCCCTGGACCTGTGGAGAGGGTGGGGTGGGCAGCGTCCCGCTGTCCTCCCCCAGGAGTGCTTTGGCTGCCCGTGGAGGGTCCAACTTGGACCGTGTGTCCTAGAAAGCGAGGCTCGGGCGGGGCGGGGCGGGGCGGGGCGGGGTCGGCAGAGCCCCCAGGCCTAGCTTCGAGTGAGGATCCGGCACTGGGGCTTTAGGTGGTGCTGGCGCCCAGTGGCCAGGGCTGCTGCTGAGGACTGACCTCATCCGGCCCCCTGCTCACTCCTGGATGACCACTGCTCCCTCCCACTCTGGGTCATCTCTGCAGTGCACAGACCCTGCTTGTAAACCRCCCCCCAGCATTGGGGACACCAGTCCCAGGAGCCCGTCTCTGCAGGGGAACTTCTCTGGGCACCGTTGGTGTGTGGTCACTTCTCATATTTACCTGGCAGCACCCACAGGTGGGCACGACGTCCCGCCCCGGGGAGGAAACTGACGCTCAGGAGGCTCCTTGGCTTCTGGGTGTGAGTCTGTGCCCCCTCTGCTCTCTCCTGAGCTCCGGCAGGGCTCTGGGCAAAGGCGGCAGGGCAGAGGCTAGTGGAGCCCTGAGTCCTCCAGGCRGCGCGGGCTCTTGAGGTCAGCCTTCCAGAGGGTCCCTTTGAAAGTCCCCAGGGGAAGTGGGGTGTGGCTCAGTGGTAGAGCACCTGCCCGACCTGCAGGGCCCTGGGCACCGCAAAACAAGTAAGCAAATGAGTGGATCATTCAACAAATAAACTTTAAAATGAATYCAGAATGTGGACAAAAGCCCCCTGTGCCCTCCTGCTGGGACCAGGAAGCTGGTGGTCAGGGCTGGGTGGAGGTGCCCCAGGCCGTCTGGGCTCAGTGCTGTGGCTCCTCCTCCCGGCTCCGCTCTCCAGTGCCAGGCTGCCCGTGCCCGCTGTCCTGGACACCCTGGAGGCTGAGTCCTGCACGTCCGCAGCGGGCGGGACCCTCGGGCAGCTTGCCTGGAAGCCTGGCTCTCACCTCCTCTTCGGCTGACCTGTTGTTGCTCTTCTGCTTTTTAAACCTGACACTGTTTGTATACGTTCTCCGACTGGAAATAAAACTTTCTTTTCTTACTGCCTCGTCTGTTCTGTGTGGCCAGCCTCCCTGCCTCCCCGCCTCCCCGCGGAACCCAAGCCTCAGAGTGCAGCTGAGGCCCGAGGGATGGGCAGCGTGCAGGGAGGGGGGCTTCCAGCAGCCTGGGCCTGGGTGTGTGGAGGGTGTGCAAGGTGTGCGGCTGTGTGCCGTGTGGCGCGTTCCTGCAGGTTCACTGGGAACCACAGTGGGGTCCTTGCAGCCCCTCGGGCTCAGGACGGGGCTCCCAGCGCCCAGGTGAGGAAGGCTGCTGACCTCCCGGGCCCGTGGGTCTGGCGTGGGGGCTCCTTGGGGCTCTGCCTCCCCTGCCCGTTCTGTGGAGCCTGCTCTGCCGTGGCGAGTGGGCTCACCCCCRCGGCCCCTGGGAAGGACAGGCGTGGGGGTTGAGCTCGGACCACACGCGCCATCTGCTGGCTGGTGGCCCCACGAGCCAYGGCACCTCTCTGAGCCTCAGTTTCCTCTTCCTCTGACGGGGTGACAGGGCCTGCCTTGCTGGGCTGCACTGAGGGTCCACTGGAGGTCACAGGAGTTGCCCGGAGGCACCCAGGGTGGTCCTCCTGCAGAAAAAAAATGGGTCTCCCAGGCTGGGGAGCTGGGGCCCTGGGGCCCTGGAGGTGAGGCCCTCTCTGCCACAGCCCTGGTCCTGGCTGCCGTGGCCCCTGAGCCCCCCTCCCACGGCCAGCCGTAGGGAGGGAGTGGAAGTGTGGAGTCTGGCCAGGGCCTCTCGTGTCCACCCTTAGTCTGGGGAGACCTGAGTCGTCTTGAGGTCCTGGGCAGGTGGGGGCTGGGCTGGGGGGCACTCACAGGAGGGAGGGCCCACAGACCCTCGAGGCCCTTGGGGGCTGCTGGGGGCTGTGGTACCCTGTGAGATGAGTGGYCTAGGAGAAGCCAGGTGCCCCTTCAACTGCCCCTCAGTCTTCCCAGGACTAGGGGACCTGCAGGGCAGGGCTGGGGTCTCAGGACGAAGCAGCCTTCATTCACTCCCTGTCCCTGGGTGACTGGCTGGCCGGTCTTCAGCTGCCCAAGGTTCTGCCCGCTGCTGAGCAGCAGCCAGCCACCAGCCTTGGCTCCTCTCCCATGGCAGGGTGAAGGGTGGGCTGGGGCTTCTCAGGGCTGGGGACATCCAATGGGCAGACGCACTTGCCCTGGCTGCAGGTGTGGGGAGCAGGTGACCTGCCTGTGCTGGTCCCCGTTGTGCTCCTCTCGTCCTGAGGCCCTGGCCCACAGCAGCTGGTGCAGTTGGCCAGTCAGCTCGCTCAGGGGCATGGCTCCAGCCTGGGTCTGGGACCACCCACTTCATGGGCCTGGGCCAGCACTGGGTGCCTTGGTCTGCTTTCCAGCTCCCACTCCTGCCAGGCTGCCCACTCAGAGGGTTAGGGATGTGGGATCTTTCTGGTCACCTAGGCTGGCGTCCTGGACCCAGAGGGCCCTTTCCCCGAGGGCTCAGGGTGTCTGCAGCTGGAAGTGGGGTCTGGTGTGGTGGCTCTCCTGCCTCACCTGTCCACCTGCCGCAGCTCCTCCCAGGTCTGCCTGCACCCTGGCCATGCACTGCCCATCCAGGGGCTGCTCACGTCACTGGGGGCTCCAGGTGGCTCTCTAGACCAGGAACTCTTGAGAGCAGGGCTGCAGGCTGAGGCCAGAGTGCAGTGTGGCCGCTGTGGACCCCGCGTCTGTGCCGCAGCTGTTCAGCTCTGCTGGCCCCAGATGGCTGATGTGTCCCAGTTAAGTCGTCAGCCACAGTGGGGACTGGATTGGCCCYGGGGGTCCTATACTGGCCAGTCGGCTCAGAGTGCCCCTGTCCCCAAGTGCCTGAGGCCTCCAGCTCCCTTGCTGGCTGTCACTCAGAGCCACCCAGCAGGGCAGTCAGGGCTAGTGGGCAGTTGGATCCAGGGCCTGGAAGATAAGGAGTTGCCCCCCCCAGGCTAGTTTACCCTGTAGGCAGCCCAGTCCCCCAATCTGTCCCTCTTGGGGTTTCTGTCCTGGTTTTTGGGGACCAGGGGTAGGATGAAGGGAGTCGGATGCACACACTGACCAGTGTTCTTTTTGGTCTAGGGAGCGGCTGCCTCACCCCCTGGACCCACGATGACCCATCCAGGTAGGCACCTGGCTTTGGAGTCCAGCTCCTCACAGCCCCTGTGAGAGGGAAACGGGCCTTAGACGGGCAGCTGACAGGCCAGCTGGAAAGTCAGGCCTGGTGGGCAGGGCAGTATGTGGCTGGCTGGCCCTGGACGGCGGGGTGCAAGTGGGTAGTCGGGGAGTCCTCGCACAGGAGGGGGCAGTGGGGGAGCCCAGGTAGGTGGCCCCTGGACATGGCGGGGGCATCTCTCAGCAGCAACTGCTGGGGCAGCCCATGGGCAGCTGGACCGTGGTCTGAGATTCGGGACTCACAGTCTTGGGGCAGTTGGCTCCTAAGCCCTAAGCAGACAGAGAACAGATGGGAAGCAGTGACCCGAGGGGTCACCAGCTGCCAGGGGAAAGGGAGACCTGCCGGGGAGGCCATGTATCCTGGGGACTTAGTGAGGGGCAGGGCAGCTCTGGGGCCCCCAAAGGCTCTGAGACCAGGCTTGGCCTCTAATAGACCTGCCCACAGGCCCCTTGCCCTCCTGCTATGCACCCCTTCTTAGCCTGCACCCCTTAGCTCAGTCGCCCTCTCCAGACCACCTGCCCTTGTTCCAAGGAAGGCTGGGTCCAGCCCCTGGTGTGGGGATGGTTTGCGGCAGCTGTGGGACTGTGTGGCCCAGCCTGTCCTCGAAGCTGGGGGTGGGGGGCAAGCAGGGCTTCGGCTAGGCAGGCAGCGAGCTGACCCTGGCTCTCCCTCCGTGGCTGCTGGTGTCCCAGGAGGAGACTTTTGTGCCCAAGATGGAGTCCCCCCGCTCCACAAATGCAGAGGGTTTACGGAAACCCCTCGCCTTGGGTCAGGTTTTCTGAGACTGGAAACACTCAGCCCGGCCTTGCTTGACAAGGACGAAGGACACTGAGCTGCCCCCGCCAAGCCAGCCAGCGTCCTGTCTCAGGTCCTGTGAGCCGCTTGATGTCACATGACCTGGACAGGGTGTGAGTGTCAGGGCACTTCCCCTGCCCCCTGGGGAGCAGATCTCCAGCAGGGGACCAGTCTGCTGGGCCAGGACTCCCATGAGGTGGTCACCATGACGAGCAGAAGCCACCCTTTCTTGCTGAGGCCCAGCTCTGCTCAGGCCCCTGGTGCCCTGCACACAGCGTGGCAGTCTGCCCCGGGCTCTGCCCTCCTGCTGTCTGCTCTGGAGCCTTGGTGGGCGTGAGTGGGGGTCTCTTCCTTGCTGTCTGGCCCAGGGCTGCATCAGGGTGGTGGGGAGTCCAGTCCCCGCTGGAGGCCATGTTCCCACCCCCGCTCAGTGCAGGCTGCATCTGAGACAGACAGCTTGGGGCTGCTCCTGGGAGCTCGCTCTCCAGCGTGGAGCAAGCGCCCTTCCCCGAGCTGCACCCCTCCAGGAGCTGCACCCCTCCAGGAACGCAGGTTTCTAGGTGTGGGCTGCCTCAGGAAGAGGAAGGGCCGGGGGCGGGCAGAGCTTGCACGTCCTCCTAAAGGAGTCTTGTCCTGAGATTGTCCCGCTGCAGCAGAGGTCCCCAGGGATCCTGGGCAGAGCAGGGTGGGCAAGGACTCCTGGTTGCTCAGGTGGAAACAGGTGGTCAACCTGCCCCACCTGGGCCCCGTCCTATCCTGGCCATTGGCTGTGTGGCTTGGGAATTTGGGGTTTCTGCCTCAGCCTCCCCCGGGAGCAAGCAGGCAGCACATCCAACCCAGTCTCACTGGGGGCAGTAACGGGAGGAGGGCAAGGCCCACGTGTGGACTTCCAGGTGGCACTTCATGGATAGCAGGAGCCAGGGGGCCTGTATCAGGGACATGGTCAGGCAGCCCAGCACCCTTGGCCAGAGACCGGCAGAGCAGGGCCCCTTTCCTGGGCAGAGGGTTCAGAAGCAGGCCCACTGCGGGTGTTTGCAGTCCCTAGCTGAATCCGGGGACTGGGGTGCTGTACTCTGGGGCAGGGCCTGCCTTGGTCTGAGCCCTGGGCCCGGCTGTGCCTCTGGGTCACTGGCCCTCCAGGAATGGAGCGAGGGAACGGCTTCACCTGCCCACCCCCTTCAGTGGCGCTTTGTCCACCCCATCCCATGTGGCTGTCCTTGCCCCACAGGGACCCTGGGGACAGGTCTTCTGTGGCCAAGGGTCCTTCCTGTGGGGCGCTGGCCTGTGGAGAAGGGGCCAGGGTGCATCCCAGCAGCCTGTTAACTTGGGACTCAACCACAAGCCCTCCTGCCTGGCATGGAGAGTCCCGCTGTCCCAGCTGTACTCAGGAAAAGTCCCCCGGGACTCACCTATCCAGAGGGGTCCTGAGARCCTGTGGCAGGCAGGAGGCCCTAGAGGGACATCACAGAGGTCACGTGAGGACAGGACGGGGGCGTGGTCCTGGCCTGTGCTGGGGGGTTGGGAGGCTGGGAGGACAGAGTGAGGGTGGAGGGACCCACAGAGAGCTGGTGTCGGGGGATCTGTGGAGGCCAGGTGGTCTCAGGATGGGGGGGCCAGCCAGAGGTGGACGGTCCAGGAAATGGGGGAGTCAGGCTAGGTCCAAGACCCAGGAGAGGTGGGGGGTTGGAGGAGGGGCAGTTGTTTGCTGGACAGTCCTGGGGTCGGCACAGTCCTGGCACCTCGGAGGACTCACCGTCCCTCCTCTCTAGGACCCCCAGGGCCTGTGGCTGCCGAGAGCCCAGGGCTGGAGAGGCGGCGCAGCAGCACACCCACCTACGTGAACCTCCCCGTCAGCCCCTCCTCCAGACAGCGGCTGCACTACCTGGGCCTGGAGCTGCAGGAGGCCGGCCTGGGCGTCCGAGGTGGGTCCCCACGGGAGACCCACAGAGCTGGGCCAGTCTCAGGGCTTGACCCCAGCACATCAGCCCTGGCCTATTCGTGCCCAAGTGACATTTCCAAGGCAGCCCTGACCCTCAGCAATGTCCGACTGAGCCCCTCTGAGGCTGCGGGCACAGGCCCAGGTCCTGTCTGGCTGAGGGACTGGTGTGGGATGGAAGGAAGTGGCAACAGGGACCCGTCCAGCCCCTGTCACCGAGGGGATGAGCACTTGCGGGCTGGGCTGGGCAGCTGGGCGGGTGCCAGCCCTGGCCTGCTCTCTGCTAACGGCTGGCGGGCTGCTCGCAGGGGCCGGCCCCGCCCACTACGCCCAGATCGACATTGCGGCCACAGAGACGGCGCACCGGGTGGGGGCCCAGCACGCGCAGGCCCGGGAGGAACGGCTGTCTGAGCTGGAGCAGCGGAGGAAGGGGGCCCAGCAGTGATGCCCAGACCTGGACAGCTGGACGTCTGGCCCCGCCAGGTGGGCCGTGCGCTCTGTGGGAAGCCCTCGTTGTGAGGGGCCCAGGCCTCTGTGGGCTGGGTTGAGGCCGACTCCTGGCCTCCCAGCTGCAGGGGAGGGCACGACTGGTCTCGTGCCCAGACCCAGCTGGAAGACCTGGGCCCGCGCTGGTTCATTCCAACCCTCCCTCTGGCCAGATCTCCCTCCTCACTGGCGTCCAGGGCTGACCCTTCCCTTGGCCTGACACGTCCCTCTGGACCACAGGCTGCTGAGGCTGCTCAGGCCCCTGACAGCACCTCTAGCACCTAGGGCTGGAGTTGCCAGGGGAGAGTTCGAGAGTAGCTTCCACAGCCTGGGATGACAGGTGACAGCCGCGTCCCAGGAAAAGGCATGTCCCTAGACAGGGCAGACAGCTCCTGAAGCTTGCTAACCCAGGCTCCCTGTAGTGTGGTCTTTGAGCCACCCCCGGGGTCCCACCTGCTGGGTCATATGCCCTGTGCCCTGGGATGGAGGCCACAGCAAGAACAGGAGGGCTGTCCCACTGGTCAGTGCCAGTGGGACTCCTACCTGTGTAGGAMTGACTGACCTCAGGGCTCCTTGGTGTCATATGAAGTTCCACACTCTCCTGTTGTTTCTTTATTTCTGGTACCAGGGATTGAACCCAGGGGCACTCAACCACGGAACCACATCCCCAGCCCTATTTTGCATTTTATTTAGAGACAGGGTCTCTCTCGATCCTCCTGCCTCAGCCTCCCGAGCTGCTGGGATTAAGTGCGCCCTACGCCGGGTCCTGTTCTATTTTTAACATGTGTAATTCCCTGAAGGTGGGTTCATGTGTGCCTTCTGCCTTTGGGCTGGGGGTTCTGGGGTAGGGGTGGAGGGAACTGTCTCCCCTTAGTGGAGCTGAGTTGGGGTCTCCTCGTGGGAACTTCTTCCAGATGCGCCCATGGCCTTGGGGGAGTCTGGCAATTCTGTGATTCAGACACTGGCAGCAAGTTTCCAGGTGTGGACTTGTGTGAGCCCCCAGCCCCCAGTGCTGGTGCTGTGGGTGAGGGGCTCCCCTAGGACAGCCACAGCCAGTCTTGGTCCTATTTCTTCTTCTGACCCTCCCTTCCCCACCCAGGAGGCCCCAGTGGTCCTGTGGGATCAAAGGCAGCTGGTGCTCCTCCTCTCCTCCCTCCCTGCTCTGTCAGCCCCACTCGTCCCCTGAGCAGACAAGGGCTGAGCAGGTGGGGCTGTGGAAGCCAAGGTCGGGGAAGCAGCTCAACTGTGGTCAGCTGGAGGGGGGCCCTGGAGGCTGCCCCACCAGAACATGGTGGGGACAGGCGCCYGGCCTAGAAGATCCCCTTTGCCCCTGCCCAGATCTTCTTACAAGATGAGCGTGGCCATCTTGTCCACTGGGGGCCCAGTGCAGACCCTCCACCTGTCTGGGGCCTCCCACTACCGTGTGCAGGGCCGCCTTCTGGTCTACAGCACCGTCACCTCCATCCACGGCCACGCTGGCTTGGTGGGTCACTGGTTGTTGGGCACTTAAGTTGACTTGAGTTGCCCTTTCGCCTTTTAGACAAGGCACCTGCCCTGATATTCCTGGAGTTGCTGCTGGGAATCCCAAGCCAGCATGGAGGGCAGGCACGGGGACAGGCAAACACAGGGACACGCAGGGTGCCCCTGCAAACTCTGAGCTGAGCTGGGGTCTGCACCATGGGAACTGTGTGTGCCTGGCCCCAGTCTCCAGTCCTCCCATGGAGCAGCTCAAAGGGACCAGGCCTGGGTCTGCAGCCTGCAAGGACCCAGGGCAGGAAGACCAGGATGAGGTGACATCGAGGGACACAGCACAGGGGGAATGTGAAGGCCAGCTGAGTGTGTGTCACTGCCAGATAGGCATCCAATAGAGCCCAGGGACCAGAAGCCCATCAAGGACCCCTTCCCAGGCTCAAGACAAAGGCCAGGGTCCTAGGATCTCCATGGTCACCTGAGAGCCCTGGCGCCACCTCCTGGCTGCAAGAGCTCTGCAGAGAGGACCCTGAGGTCAGGCTCCAGACYCCACCCAGCTCTAGAGGAAGGTCAGGCATTTGGCCATGTGGCTCTGGCCGCCAATGGTCATCCTGGCTGGCAGGGTCCCCAGCACTCCCTAAGGCTGCCTGAGCTAGAGGTCACCCTCCCTCACAGAGCTCGGCTCACAGAAGCCCTCCTGCAGACCCACGTGTGCCTAGCCCCTCCCCGTGGCACCTTGGCCAGGCCAGGCCTAGCTGAACCTGCCCTCTGGCCCCCTGCTGGCCGCCCAGCTGCACATCACACTCCCAGGCAGAGGGGAGACAGCCACATCACAGACACCCAGGCCTGGGTAGAGCCACTCATACCCATGACCCCTTGGGCAGCACAGAAATTGGCATCCTGCCACTTTATAAGGAGGCATCTGAGGCWCTGGCCAGCCAAGGCCATAGGGCTGTGGACCCGGGTGGGCCTGAGCTGGCACGTGTTGCCTACAGGAGAGGCCAGGAGGGCCTGCCGGAGCAGGGATGGAGGACCCTGGCAGGGGACAGGGCCACAGCTATTTGGGGAGCAGGCTGCTGGGGGTGGGGGGTGGGAAAGAGGCTCACCTGACAAACGTGAGCAATAGAGTCGGGTCTAAAGAACGTGCTCAGAGCCCTGCGAACTGGTGGGAGTGGGAGGGGCTGTGTCCTAGCCCCGTCGGTGGTGACTGCCAGCTACACCTAGGGCAGCTCATTCCCATGCCGCTCCGGGTAACCACTGTCTCAAGTGGATTGAGGACCCACGATGAGGGTGTCTAAGAGCAGGCCTGTGGCCTGTCCTCTATGCGGGCTCAGGTGCAACTGTGGCCTGGACACTCAGGTGCTCTGTGTTGCAGACAAGGCAGCTGAGTGGAACCTCCTTGCGGCTGCCCCATGTGGGCAGATTGACGTCTTTGACTTTCCTAGATTTTTGCCAGATTTTGTTCTCCTAGCTGACTATAAAGGTGGACAGCACCAGAGCATGGGAGATTCCCAAAGACTAGGTCCACGTAAGCTCTGCCATCAGGGCCAAGGTGACCTCCACGTCCTCACGGCCAGCGCCAGAGAGGCGGGGCACGTTTGCAGAGGCTGGAGCTGAAGGAGCACTCCCTGGCCGGGACGTCCTCTCCCTTGCCTCGTGCCCTCTTGCACAGGCTGTGGACCAAGGGACAACCTGAGCCGGCCCGTGGCCATACTGTGATMCAGCAGCTCGAGAAGCAGAGACAGGAGGATCTCAAGTTTGAGGCCAACCTGGGCAGCTTTGAGACCCTGATTCAAAAAATRGGTGTAGTCCAGTGGTAGAGCACCCTGGGTTTCAATCCCCAGGCCCCAAAACAAAATTAAAAGCCAACCAAACAAAACCCCACTGATCGTGATTTGTTACCGCGTGCACTTTGGCCCCGGACTCACCCCGGTGCCTTACCACCGAGACACCTTACCAGCCCCGTTCCTTTTCCGGGCCACAGGCATGGCTACCACGCCTGCTCGTGTCTTGTAATTGGGTATTTTTCTCATGAACTGAAGAGTCAGCAGTCCCCGCTCCCACATCCAGTGGCTTCACGATTCCCTGGCATTTGCATCTGTCACTATAAAAACACGTCCAAGCTACGGCCAGCAGGAGCCCTGGCCTGGTGCTGTCGGCCTCCCTGTGGTGGTGCCCTGCTCTGTGTGCTCGCTGTGACTCAGGCAGGCGCTGTGCCCCTCTGCTGCTCGGCATGTTCCCCTGAGAGCGGTTCCCACGCACTCACGCTGACGCTCGCTGCCCTCTCATGGTGTGGCCCCCCAAGGTGGTCTGCACAACCTGCCCTGCGACTCTTCTGTCCAGTCTCCTGGGTGCCATCTGCACTGCTGCTCCAGGCCCTGGAGGCCCATGACCCCTCTCCTGGGTGGGCTTCCTTTTAGTGGGTCCCCAAAACTTGTCTTTCAGGGAGCACTTCCCGAGCAGCGAACCAAGACATGGTACGTGGGTCAGTCTGAGATTGCTTGGAAACACAATCTGACTCCTTCTACCCTTAACTGCTGGCCGGGGCACCATTCTGGGCTGCAGTTTGTCCTTGAACCCCTGGGATCACTGTGAGGACGAGTGCCGTCCTGACAGCTGGCCTGGAGCTCTCCCCTCCTGTTATTTGGGAACGGTCTTCGCCTCCACGGCTCTCAAACCCTCAGCTGCGAGTTCATGCTCCCCGGGACCTTGCATTCTGGAGACTTGTTTCCATGGTGACCTGTCAGTCCGACTTCCACCCTCTGGAATCCACTGTGCAGGCCCCGGGGTCCCCGGCTGCCCTCTGGAGCCTCACTCGCCTGTCCTTGGCTCTTCCGGTGTGACACCGTCCCCCTACTCTCTAACCTCGGAGCACCTTATTTTCTCTTCCAGGCATTTGAAAGTTCACCTCCTGGTTTCACGGGTGCACTGACCTGAGAACTCGTCAGTTGGGACTTACCACCTGCCAGTCCCTGTGCACTGTCCTGGCCAATACCCATGCAGGGGGGACCACTGTGTTGGCATCCACTGCTGGAGACACGGTGCCTTCTTCCAGCTCAGCAAATGCTGACGCCTGTCCAGGCTGTCGTGTTTGCAGGCCACCCACCTAGCTCTGGCCACCACGAGCAGGCTGCTGGGTGCCACAGTGGACTGCAGGTCACAGAGAGGGTGGCATTTCATCTTCAAGTGGCCCAGTCTCCAGACTCCTGCTACTATGCACATGGCACCAGAGAGCTGCGTCCAGGCACGTCCAGCCCAGGGCTGTGGTGACCGGAGGACGGCCTCCCCCCAGAAACTGCTGACACCCAGCGCCTCTTCACGCRGTGCTGGCCACGTGGACATGGAAAAGGGCCTGCGTGCTTCCCTGTCMATCTGGAAGACTAAGCTGCAAAGGCCTTTATGTAGGCAGAGTCCCCTCAGATTCAGGCGGTGGAYATGTCCATAGTCTCTAGTTCACCACTTTCTCAACATCTCGTGATAAGCAGAGATTTTAAATTCTGATGAGACCCAGTTTCAGTTTTCCCTGGGCTTGGGTTTCCTCCTGGGCTTCTCCGTGCGGCCTGTTGGAGACCCTGCCCAGGGCTCTCGCCCGTGCTCTCRCAGAAGTTCCTGTGAATGCGCGTCTCACTATATCAGGACCCTTCTTGCGTGGTTTCTGTGGACGATCAAAGTTAAATTTCCCCTAAGACACGCCCAGCTGCATTCCCCGGGATGTTCGGCCTCAGTCCAGAGCTCCCCCTCTCTCTTCTGCAGTCTAGAGGTGCCACCGGGGCTGCAGACCCTCCAGGACGTCCCATCTATGATCGCCAGCAAGATCACGGGCCACCGTGGACACTGCAGGGGTCAGCGGCAGCTTGGCCTTTCCTGCCAGTCCTCACTGYAGGGCCAGCTGCTTTCTGTTATTTCCAACCAGGAGCCGCCCAGGATCCATGAAAAGCTACTCTGGGGCTTGGCTGGGAGGCGGGACCCAGGTCACTCTTTGAGGGTTGTTCAGGGTTATTTTTGCAGGGTGGCAGAGCAGGGCGGCCAGGAGCACTCCACTGGGCTTGTGTCAAGGCTCCTACGCAAGTGAGTAKCGCTTATCCAGGGGCAGCTGGGGCGCGCCCTTGGTCAGATCCTGTTAAAACGCCCTTCTCCCTCCGACACCCGGGGTGGGGGAGGGGTCTGGTATTGACCCCCAGAAGATCCTGGCCTCCTATGGTCAGGCCTCCCCCTGGACTCTCGCCTGAGGCCRGTTGGGACCTGATGGCCTGCAAGACCAGAGCCCGTGTATGCCTGGACAGAGAGCACCTTCAGAGCAAGGACCTCAGTCCTGGTACAGGGAGCTCCCTGGGCTCCTGCTGCCCCTGCCTCCAACAGTCCCCACTGCCCCAGATGTGAATCGTCTGCTGTGGCAAATGGCTTCTCCAGTGGGAGTCRGTCCCCGTGACCCGCCCAGCACGGACCCTTCCCGCACAGCCTCTGAGGCTGGTGGCCTCCCAGTGTCGACCCCGGGTCCTCCCTCCTCGGTGCRCACCACAGCCCCTGGAGGAGATTCTCAATTTCAAAGGTGATCTTTTTTTGACCCATGTGGCCTTTTCAGTTTCTAAAGGTGTCCGTCATTTGGCTTCAGATTTCCTGAACTGCACAGTGGCCCAACGGTGTGACCTATGCGGCTCACCTCTGCAGCAGCTGTGCTTACTTTGAGGGTCACCGGCAGGGGCGTGACCAGCGCTCAGAGCTCCATGTGCACAGGTGGACGCTCCTCTGCTGGGTGTGTCCCTGGGGCATCGGCCTCCACATCCTGACCGAGGGGCCACGTTTCCATTGGAGACCCATAGGCAAGGAGAGCAGAGCCAGCCCCAGGCAAGGAAAAGGGGTCAGGAGACTGACCCCAGTGTCCTCTGGCTCCTCCACGTCCCTGTCAGGCCATGCACCCCGACATCCTGGACTGCGAACCCCACGAGGGCCAGTCTCTGCACATGGGGCATTGGTTGGGTACCTGAGTATGTGGCTGGCTCTGAGTGTGACAGGCAGATGTGGAGACCCTGCAATCACCTCCTGGCCTCAGATGCTGCCAAGGTCTCTGGGCAGCCTGTTACCCAGCACTTCCTGAGGGGACACACCCAGCTGGCCTGGGCCTGTGGGTGAGCAGACTATGCACTGCCCAGAGCCCGGGGGCTGTGCTCGCTCTGCCCTGCTACCTGTGTGTTCTGGCCTGCAGGCTCGCCCTCTTCTGTTTCTTACTAACCGTGACTAAATGACCCTCCAGAGGGACAGATCTCAACTCTTGAGACCTAGCCACTGCCAGACCCAGCCAGCCTCTTCCAGGCTCAAATACGGGGACCATGCCCCCTGAAGCTGGGTGTGGGGACCTGTCAGTGTCTCCCAAGTCCCCAGGGCTGCAGAGGTGAGAGGAAGAAGGAGCCACCATGGCCACAGGCTCAGGCCCCCCTCCTGGATCCTGGGCTCCTCCTCTGCCATCTGCCTTGGAACCTCCACTCTAAAGGCGAAACCATGCCAGGCATGGGGAGAGAGTGACTGCAGAGACCTGGGGAGCAGAGGCCACCTGGGCCAGAGGAGGAGGAGACCAGGGCCCTGGGAAGTGCTGAAGTAGTGGAGCAATGCTGGCTCTGGCCAGTGCATGGCCACAAACCTTGAGACCAGGCGACGATGAGATGACGGACACACCACACTCTGATTCTCAGGACTCTGTACATGTTTCCAGGGGAAGATTCACAGGGTCTTGATGCAGACCACACCGAGCAGTACTCGAGACCTTTGTCCAACTGGCCGCCGGACTCCAGTCCTCTCCAGTGTGATGATGGCCACCTCTGCTTGAGACACAGGAGGCTACCACCCAGAGGCCAGGCCAGATGTGGGAGGGAGAACGCTGGTTCCACTGGGCCTGTGAAACATCCTCCCTGCCACGGCACCTGGGATCAGCCTGCCATCATCACGGCCAGTCTGTCCATGCAGGCGATGCCACCGCAGCCCCTGGCACCTTCAGCTCTCAGAGCTCGTTGTGCCGTGCCCTCGAGATCCTGCTGGACAGGTCCTGCAGATGCTTCTTTACCTGCAAACAGGGACATGATCAGCTGGACTAGAAGAGCAGGAGTGCCACACCCAGGGCGGCTGCGCACCCCAGGAGCACACTGAAGAGATGCCCGCGCCCTGCCCTCCTGGTCACACACTGTCCAGTTCGTGCCCCCAGGAAGCAGACCTTCCTGACAAGCAGAACAGGACTTCCCAGSGTCCACCTTGTTCTTAAAAGCTTGAGTGGGAGACGCTGTGGTGGGCTGCGTCTGCACGGAGGGTGAGCTCACCCTGGACCCACTGCTACAAGGGCTCTCAGGACCGTCCCCCGCCTCCAGGCCCAGGGCTCTGCACTTCACACAAGAGCCCCGCCTGCTGGCTGTCCCCCGCCACGGCTCAGCATCAGTCTTGGCTGAAGGTCTCCTCTTGGCATCCCCAGCACAACTGACGGCTGTGTGCTGGCATTGAACCCAGGGCCTTGCACACACCAGGCAAGTGCTTACTGCTGARTTACATCCACAACCCACTTAGAGCCAGGGGCTCCCTGAGTTGCCCAGGCTGGCCCTGAACTTGGGATCCTCCTTCCTCAGCCTCTGACACAGGTGTGCGCTGCCAGGCCTGGCTGGTGACAGGCTTTCCTAGCCAAGGCCACACTGCCCTCCGTGGAAGGAAGGGAAGCCAGGACTGCACCTGGCAGGCGAGCCCTCTGCTAACGCCTGCACTCAGATGGCAGCAATGGGCACCGGCGACTGGGCGCCTGGCTCCTCCCCACTTAGGCCCCTCCTCCTGGCACTTCTGCATGACTTAACTTCTCAGGCTTTGCCGATTTTGAGGAGGAAGCACAGCCCTGTGGTTCAGACCCTGCAGGCAGTAAAAGGTCCCCTCCCAGCCTGAGCCCCACTCCCTGTGCAAAGTCTCTCCTGGTTTCGTGGGGCCTGGTGCTGGATCCTCAGTGCCCATACCACCTTGCGTCCCTGCTCACTGAGCTCGCCCAGGGTGTCCCGTGGGAATGGCTCCTGGGGGAGGAAGGTGCCTGCTCTGTGGGTCCACCACCAATGGTCCTCCAGCACCATCCCAGTCTCGCCCCAGTGTGGCGAGATTTGGACAGGACACAGCAGTGGCGGATTTGGGTCGCACCAGCAAGGGCCTGTACTCTGTGGGCCAGGAGGCCAGGCTCCATGCACGTGGGTTCCTGAGGCCTCTCAGGGCAGCTGCCCTGCAGCCATGTGGGGGGTGGCCATKTGGGTAGGGGCAGCCCTGTGTGGGCTGACAGGCACAGGCCAGGCGACACCCACCTTGTAGCCCAGCTCCTGGGTCTTGCCCTGCAGCAGCGCGTGCCTCTCCCTGCTGCGGCTGATGTGCTCGCTGTCGCCGAAGCTCTCCACGTGCTTCAGCTTCTGGTGTGAGACCTCCAGCTGCTTCTGGTAGTGGCTGTGCTTTTCGATTTTGGCCTCAAAGTGCTTGAGCTCCTCCTGGAAGGTTTTGACACTTACTTTTCTCCAATGTAACCCTGGGCACCTGAGGGCCCGTCTCTGGGCAAGGAYGGTCTCACTGGGAGCCGGGTCAGCGCAGGAAGTGGCTCAGGCTGCTGTGGCCGGCAGTCATGAAGCAGCATGCTTGAGGGCAGTGTGGGCGGGAGYGGCCACGGTGCCACAGCTAGGGTCTCCAAAGGAGAGGGATGCCCCACCAGAGCCTGATGGCCTCGAGGACCTCGGTGTCAACCTGGGCCTCTGGTCCCCGTCTGCATTTTCTTCACTGCACTGACCCCAGGTCCCATTTGCAGACCGACACCTGGTGCTTGGGCTCTTCCATGGTCGCCTCTGTGTGTGCCTTTCCCTCCCTCCCTGCAGCCCCCGACCCCTCCTGCACCATCTTCCCAGATCCTGGTCACCCTACCCATCTTCAACTGGCCAAGGCCCTCTCCAGTTCTGCAGGGCCCACTGGCCCACTCCTCACGGGTGACCGACCCGACCCTCCCGCGGAGGCTAAGGGCTCTTCCCAGGGCCGCGAGGGCGGGTGTGCATGGCCGCTCTCCCTGCTGGCAGTCGTCCCCCTCTGGGCCTAGCCACCCCATCCCAGGTGCACACACGGAACACGTCYTGAACACTCAGACGACACAGAGTCCCGTGGGCCCCCACAATCCCCCAAAGCCCCCTGGTTCAGCACCAGCAGCCCTCCCAAAGGCCTGTCCCCCCCTCGGGTGACCCACCAGCCCGCAGTGAGGAGTTGCTTAGCTTCCCACGGCTCAAAGGAACCAGAGCCCCTTACTTGGTGAGCAGCCTCTTACTGTCTCCTCTCTGGACACCTCGCCCCATCCACCTCCCACAGCCCCTGTCCCATTGGATACACCGGCCACTTCCCCTCTCAGTGCCCCAGTGGTCCTCTCCTCACAGCATGGCCAGCCAGGCAGACCACCCAGGCACAGACATGGCTCATCCTCGGCCATGGGGCCGCTCTGGCTTGAGAGGCATGTTCATGTGCACACAGCCCCACCTGGCCACCAACCAGGACTCAGGGCTGCAGAAGTCAGCAGGGGACGAGGGCCAGAGGGAGCAGGTGGGGACAGACACACAAGTATGCCCTACACCAGAGCTGGACAGGAACTCAGGCGGGCACACAGCGGGGCAGACAGCAGGGCCTCCTTACCCGGAATGACTCCAGCTCTTTTTCCGTGAAGTTGGCAGACTGGGCCAGGTCCCACAGATCGATCACCCGGGGCTCCTCAAACTCTGCAAAAGAGCAGGAGCCACCTGTCTTAGGGGCAGTGTGGCTGGGCCCACAGAGCCTGCTCTGCCCCAGGATAGGGTGTGCACATGTGTATGTGACTGCCTGGTGTCAGCGCACAGCTAAGGCTTGGACACAACCACACGTAAGCCTGGGTACACTCAGAGCATTCCTGAGGTGCTCTGGGCACCTGGTCTGTCACTCAAAGGACTGGCTGTGATGTGGTCCCTGGTGAAGGGTGCTTCTCCTGGGCTTAGACCTGGGCTGCCCTGTCCATGACTGGAACCACCAGCTGCTCCTGGATGCCTCTCAGAGGCAGTGTGGGTTGGGGGCTGTACAGAAGTTACTCGGCATTGGTCAGGGCTGTCCATCAGAGACAGGTCCAGAGTGGGGGTTGGGTTGTTCACCTTTTTGCTCCTAAGCAGACCAGGTGGCTCCTGACCTTGCTGGGCCCACGTGGGGATACAGTGAAGCTGTCCAGCATGGGTCACCAGCCTCTGCTCACCTGGCCTGCCTGTGAGCAACATGGTGCCTGCTACTCCTCCTCCCGGCTGACCTTCCTGCCCAGGACCCGAGGGAGCCCTGGCTTGTGGGGAGAGGGCTGGAGGACAAAGTGCAAGGGCAGGAGAAACCAAGGAGCTGCCCGGACGCAGCTGCACGAGGAGACATTTGAGGGGGGCGTGGGGCAGGGGTCAGCATCACCACCCACCATGCCCACTGTGGCCAAGCCCTCTGGCTCCTAATAACCCAGGAATGGCAAATCTGCCAGGTGGTATTATCACTTCCACAGGAGGCTGTGCCCAGGTGGGGGAGAGATGGTGACACTCTTGCACAAGGGCACGCAGGTGGCAGAAGTAGGACAAAACCAAGGGGAGCTGGGCCTGGCCTGTAGGACACATGCGCCCCTGTGCTGGGTGCGCCTCTCRTCTTGAGAGGCCTTGCAGGTGGTGTCCCAGTGAAGCCAAGCCCCTGTCCTGGGGTGGCAGACGGGGTGGGCATGGAGGGAGCACGGGCTGTGCCTTGTGGAGCCTGCCAYACTGGCATGGGCCTGAGGCTCAGTGAGCCAGGGTCAAGGTGAACCAGGGTGGCTGACCCACTGCCCCCTGGCCCCAGGCCCAATATGCACCAAGAGCATGCAGGTGGCGGCAGACCCTGACTCAGGAAAGCTCAGACTGATGGTCAACCAATAGCACCGATCCTTTCCAAGACCTGGTCAGCAGAACACTTGGACCAACAGCACTGACCCAATGCTCCGTAGAGCCCTAGATGAGCACACCCAAGGGACAGCCCACTTGTCCCTCGCCCTGAGGGAGAGCTGCCTCTTTTCTTCCCACTCCAATAAATCCCACATCTTTGTATTAGCATTCAYTCTTCCTTGTCTGTGGGTTCCATTCTTTGGGTTCGTGAGACAAGAACCCAGAACAAAGAGACTGGTGGAGAGCCGCCAGCCCCCACTAAGAGCTGCCACAAGCCAGCCACCAGGCCTGTTGGGAGGGGCTGTGCCTTGGGGCCACTGCTCCACCACCTGAGTCACCTTCAGGGAAGGGGCTGGCAGGGCAGAGGCACCCATGCTTATGAACAGCTTAGGAAAGTGGACCCTGGACCGGCCCCTCTCTAACAGTCAAGGAGTGCATGTGACAAGGGCCCGAGGTCCCTGGGCCAGTCCCCCAAGCACTGAGAACACAACCTGCCAGATGCACCCTCCACTGCTACAGCCAGCAGCCGTGGACAGGTGCCGGTCGCGTGCGGAGCTTACCGGCCGTGGGGCCRTAGCCCTGGTGGCTGACCTTCCTCAGGCGATCCAGGCCCTGGTTGATGCTGCGCAGCTTGTCCTTCAGCTCACCGTGCTTGCTGTGTAGGACATCGTCCTTGACCTGGCTCCGATCGGAAGGACTGATGACGTTGTCATAAACCTCTGTGGAATCAGAACACAATGCCTGGTCAGGGCCTCCCGAGGGCCTGGCGCTGGGACCACTGTGTTGCCGAAAACCACACCCCTGGGAGAGTTCAAAGGTTCTCTCTTGGAAGCATCTGCTCCTCAGCTGTCTCTGGGGACAGTGATGTCAGTTGATGGGCCCTTTCAAACAGCAACACCTGGGTCCATGGTGACTGCAGGTGGACGTCAGTGCACCCAGAGCCCTGGAGGCCCACCAAGACGGCACAGCCCCACCAGCCCTCCAATGTGCTCTTTCTCAGGGTCCCTACTTGGGGGAGTTCTGAGGGCGAAAGGCCTGGCCAGTCAGGAGGCAGCAGCTGCCTGCTTGCTGGGAGAGGAGGCCAGGGTGGCCACAGAGCTGCTGCCAAAGCTTCATCTGAGCGGAGCATTAGTGCTGGGCTGTGGCTCAGGGGTGGAGCGCTTGCCTGGCACATGTGAGGCCCTGGGTTCAATCCTCAGCACAACATATAAATAAAAATAAGGTCCATCAACAACTAATAAAATATTAAACAACAACAACAACAAACCTGTTTCCATTCACAAAACTGGGTGGAAACCTAAGACAAGGGTACTGGGTGGCCCCCAGCAGGTCACTGCATGGAGCAGTGTGGCGGGGCAGGCGGGCAAGGTACCTTCAGTCCTGCTCAGCGWCTCCAGCAGGACGTTGTACTCAGCCACCTTCTCTTTGTGGTGCAGAAACTCCTTCCACAGCTTGTCCAGCTCTTCACTGGAGAATTTCCCTGAGGTCTTCGCCTAGAGGGAAGGGGACCAGCAGGAAGACCCCTGGTGGGGCGTGCCATCCCTCTGTCCTCCATAAGCCCCCAGACTCTTTGCAAGTGTGTACACCAGGAAAATAAAACCCAAACCAGGGAGAACAGCTGTTGCTGGGCAAGGTCCCTTCTACTTGGTGTGCCCAGACTTGGTGGGGCATGGTGACCATGCTGGCCAGGTGAGGAGAGGAGGACCCTGAGGAGGGTCCCCCACACCTATTCCCTCTCCTGGCTGTGGCTGGTGAACACAGCAAGGTCATCTCCCTGGGGGGCCCAGGGCTGGTCACCTTGCCATTCCATCTGCCTCTTGCCCCCTTCCCTACAACCCAGGACAACAGGCTGGTGCAGAGTTCCAATCCCTGAACCAAATCAGCATGATCCAGACAAGCTGTTCTGAACCAGGGTGGAAGGGGAGCCAAAGCAAGGGAGCACCCTGATATAGGTCAGCCAGACCATCACACCCCAACACCTGGCCCCACCCAGCACCCCACTCTGAGGTCTGCAGCCCAAACAGCATSCCAGGCCAAGCCCAGCAGACCCGCCTTCCTAGACAGCACAGAGAGCCCACTCCCGTGTGGGCACGGACACACACCAGGCTGAGGTGCATTCCCACAGCAGCAGCTCTGCAGGCCAATTAAGGCAGAGGTCGCAGCCATGGGGTGGTGGTAGCTTGGTGGTAGAGCACTTGACTAGCGTGAGAAGCTCTGGGTTCGAGTCCCAGCACCACCATGAATAGATAAATGAAAAGAATGCAGTCACACCGTGTGTTTAACCCATGCAATTTAATAACGCTGCTAAGCACGTTCTTAACATTTCAGCCTAAGAGCTATAAGCCAAAAGAATCGCTTTGTAGAGAGCACAGGCATGTTCCAAAGAGGAAGCAGAGGCTGAGCTGCAGGGAGGTGATGCACAAAGAGCAGCACTGTCCCAAGAAAGCTGCGTTCTCCTGAGAGGCCCCACACAGTGAGTACCGTGCAAGGGACGGGGGCCTTGCAGGGCGACAACTTGAGACCCACCCCCCATGCCCTAACCCTAACATCAGGGCAGGTCTGAGCGGTCATGGAAAAACGGATGGGTACCTTGTGCCACAGCTTTTCCAGCCTGGGGTCCCCCAGCCCGTCGTCCTGGGCGCTGTCACTGAGTGAGTTGCTGTGCACCATCTGGGCCTCCTTCCTCCCATCCAGACCATACCTGGCCAAGATAACTAGAGAGAAGCAGTTTTACTCCACACGGTTCTTTGACCAACAGTCCACCCGTCTCAGAAACTCCAGGGGCAGTGCTGGCCTGCTTTCTCTTCACCCTGGCTGCTGGGTGGCCATGCAAGACGCAGTGGACCAGCACGCATACCAGCCCCCAGTGCTTACAAACACCAGGAGGACAGGCCTGGTTCCTCCCGTGGACACACCCTGCTAATGTCCTCTTGAACGCAAAGGTGGCTTGTGGGAAAACCAGGTGTGGCCTGGATGGGCCACTGGCCACAGGGTCTCAAGGACAGGTAGTACTGTCCCAGTTTGTGACCAACCCCAGTGAGGACAGACAGTCCACTGAGGGGTCAGACAATGGCCAGGGAGCTTGACAACCCTGATAATGTGCTCACCTACAGGGGAAAGGCAGARCCAGAACTCCTGGCAGATTCTGAGGCAGCTGGGAGGGGAGGCCAGCCAGCATGTCTGCTGCTACCCAGCCCAAGGGACGTACTGGCCTCGTACATCAGTCTTTCTGCCCCATGAGGACACGTACCTCTGGTCACTAGCACACTGTAGGGAAGGCCAGACAGCTGACCCTACTGTGGACAGGCTTGGTGCTCTGGACATGAGGCAAATAGGGCCTGGGGCCTGGTCTCTTGTCCCAGGAAGCAGCTCTCTAGAGCCAGGGCTCTGACCTCTTAGCCTACATGCCAGCACTCAGCCACTACAGCTCTGTGGGCAAGCCCCCACCAGCCAGGCCCCCCTGGAATCCACAGCCCATCCGGTTGGCCCAGCCCATATATGGTCTTTGGAAACTCCCTTCCCCTCTTCTGGGCCCAGAAGAGGGGAAGGGAGTTTTCAAAGACCAGACAGGAGACCACAGGTCTCGATGTATCTGGAAGCTTGGCCGCTGGGGGCCTCCAGCATGCACAGCAGGAGCACTCTGGCGTTACAGTCCAGGAGCCCTGGTCCTCTCAGTGTCAGGCAGCCTACAGACGTCTCACTCCACTGCAGACAGTGGTCAGGAGCTGCCTGGGCGTGGGTGGGTGGGTCTCACTGGGGCACACAYTCAGCAAAACTTGTCAAACCCTGTGGTAAGATTTGGATTCCATCACATGCAACTTTTATCTCTAAGAACGACTTTGAAAATTACTTAAGCCAGGCCCAAACTACTTGGCAGGCTGAGGTGGGAGGAACACCTGAGCCTGGAGTTCAGGGCAGCCTGAGCAACACAGGTAGGAGACCCTGCCTTTAAAAATAAAACAAACAAAAATCTTGATTAAGTAAAGGTTGCTCAGCCACCCCAGCCTCAGAAAGCCAGTGCCTACCCTGTCTCCAAGGTCCAGCTGACCGGCCCAGGCCACCACTGCTCCCAGCTCCAGGAAGAGCCCAGCCGCCCCAGGCCTCACACTCCCGACTCCCCTGGACAGCTCTGGCAGCCCAAGCCAGAGAAGAGGGTGGGGTGTGGCTCAGGGCCGAGGGCATAGGAACCACCAGACTCCTGACCACAGGTAAATGGCCAGGGCTATGCTCAGCAACCAGGACTGAGGAGGGTTCTGGATGCTGGGCTCTGCCTCAGGTGGAATCCCAGAATGCTGAGGCTGGAGGAGGCCTCACAGAGCACAGAGCCCGGCCTCTCCTGAGGTGGCCGTGGGCTGTGTGTGGGGTGAACAACAGGTGCAGACAGGACCCATCCCTCTGAGGACAGAGCCCATGTGGGCTTTGCCAAAAGAGCCACTGTCAGTCTAGATGAGGCAGTTCGGTGAGGTACGTCCTTAGGGTGCCCAGGGCAGAGCTGGTGGAGATGGGGTTCCCCAGGGCTCCTACCAGTTGTGCCCATTTCTCATCCCAGTCTCCTGTCTGGACACTGCATGAAACAGTCCCCCTGGGTGTGCTATATGACCATGGCACAGGGAATGGGGAGCAGGTCCACAGACCACACCTGGAAGACAGTGGRCCTGTGTGGCCATGAGAGTGGCCAGCATCAGCAAGCACCCACCTCCTGGATAAGACCTCTCCAGGAGTGCTCAGGAGGGTCAGCTTCCAGAGTTCCACTAAGGCTGTTGCCAGGCACCAGAGACCAGTGTCATCCAAGCAGAAAACTCTGCMCTAAATGGGTCATGGGCCTGGACTTTACTAGGCTGGAAGAAGCCACTCCCATGAGGACACCAGCCAGCAGGGAGGGAGACGGTCACTAACCCACCTCCCTGGAGCCCTGGGCTCCTCTATCTCTTGGGCCTGGACTCCTGTGCACCAGGGYAGGGATGGTTCCTCTGGAGGGGAAGGGCTCTGGCAGCTCCAGGGCCCTCCATCCTACACATGCCCAGTTCCCTCTGATGGGGTGGAATTGGGGCAGGAAACTCCATAGCAGGCTCCTGCCCTGCCCAAGAGGATGGCCTCCCCAACATGCTGCATGAAGTGCAGCTGTCCCGACTCATCTCAGGTGTGTCTCCTCTAGCCTGACGGCCCTCTGCCGCTCATGTGGATTTTGTGTTCCTGATACACAATCTGAACTTGGCCTGTAAAATGGGAGAAATGAGGCTGGGCCATGGTGCACCCAGACGTCGTACTGTGGTGAAGCTCTGAAGGCCTGAGCAGGGACAGGGACGGCTGGGGACAGCACTGGCTCTGGAGGCAGAAAACCCCACACAGGATATCCGTCCCTGAGTCTGTTAAGGGGGGACCGGAGTCAGCACCTCAGTGAGGCCTGAGGAGGAACAGTCTCCTGTTGGACTGAGGAGGGGACCTGCATCCCCCTCAGGCTGCCTGGGTGAACCGTGTCCCCAACCTGTTTCCAGGCCATGCAGCTCGGGGCCGTCAGCCGCCGGGGCATCTGTGTGTCTGGAACTCTGATCCTGGTCCTCCTCCAACGTGCCAACAGCACTCAGGGGACAGACAGGCCTGAGACTATGGCCAAGGTGCCCGTGGGGGCGAGCCTGCACGCTGAGGCTGGGCAGCTGCCTCCCCGATTGTAAGAAGAAAGACAAGCACCATTAAGATTGCGAATCAGCTTTGCTTCTTTCTCCCCGTCCTCGTCCAGGCCCTCGATCTTCAGTTTCTTCCAGTTGAGCTCATCTCTCTCTTGAATCTTCAGATCGGCATGGAGCTCCGCCAGCTTCACAGGAGRGAGATGCAGCTGCCCAACAAGAACAGAGCAATGTGTGACCACGGCAGTCACAGCCCGAGGCTGACCTGGGAGAAGGGTGGCAACTAGGACCCCAGACAAGAGGGGACAGAGTTGGGGCCATGGGCAAGAAGTTCTAAAGACAGCTGGCCTTCCACCCAGGCCCGAGCTCTAAAACCCCAGTCCATGGAGAGGTCGCCCCTGATGGCGGCTGCCTAGAGGCTAGGGCTGCTGTGACAGGCACCCTCCCTCCCTCCCCGCTGGTACACGGTGAGTTTCACCAGGGAAACAGGGTACCAATGAGGGGCTGGGCCTGGTAAAGAAATGCATTACCTTTTGCTCATGCTGCACAACTATGAAAAAACAACTGAAAGTGCCACAGAGAAGACTGAATTTACAGAAAATAAAATCTTTATAATTTACAGAAAATAAAATCCAAATAACATATATTTTTTGAGGGTAGTACTGGGGATTGAACCCAGGGCCTCCACAGGCTAGGTGAGTGCTCTACCACTGAGCCACGCCCCCAGTCCTCCAAACAAAATCTAAAAAACCAGAATCAAGCAGAACTATAACTGTCCCAGGACACTGGCCATGTCTGAGACAGAGCCAGGCCACATGGAATACAGATCCCGAGCACCCGCAGYGGGTATGAACTGGACTCCCTACAGATGCTTAGCCTGTCCTGGGCAACGGGAGGGGGACGGTCAGCAGAGACCCCTGCAAGTCCTCCAAAACAACTGCAACCTCTGATTCTCCCACTTCATTTCCCGAGGCCCTTAATCCCCATCTCTTACATGTATCAGGCTTTCCTGTCAGCCCAGGACACTTCTGAAAGGGAACCCAGATATCTGGAGTGGAAATAATATTAATAATAACCCTCTCATTCACCTGCTGGCAAGCCAACCGTGCAGGTATAACCCACCTGTCCTGCCTGGCAGGTTGCAGCAAGGAAAGGGGCAGGGTCTGGGGGACCCACTCTCCAAGGAATGACTTCTCTGCTGACCCTGAACCCCTTTCTCTGGTGTCTCCAACACCCTCTGAGCTGGCCCTGCCTGTCCAATAATTTCTCCTCTGAACTCTATCAGGTGCCCCTGCAGAAGGCTGGATGCCCATCTGCAGCGTGCCCTTGAGACCCTGGAATGACTTGGCTGCATCTCATCTGTGGGCTCCCAGAGAAGCAGCGACACAGGCCATGGAGGCAGGATGGAGTGGGGACAGACAGGAGAGGAAGCCAGACTCGCCTGTTTTGACAGGCCCAGCCACCATACAGCACAGCCCCCTTGCCTTGTTTCTGATCCGAAGCCCACATTTACTTATTTTTTATTTGTGACACAAAACTCTGGAGCAATAATAGACAGGTCTGTTTCCACCTCTAATTCCCCACACACTGCATCGTCTCCCCTGCTGGGCACATGGCAGCAGGGCAGCGCTACAGGGAGGAGATGCTGCGGGGAGGAGACGGCTGAGGCTCTGTTTTTTTTTTTTTTTTAAATAAATACTTTTTTAGTTATAGTTGGGCACAATACCTTTATTTTATTTGTTTATTTTTAGGACGAACCCAGCCCCTCGCACATGCTAGGTGAGCCCTCTACTGCTAAGCCACAACCCAGCCCAAGGCTCTGGTTTTGCTCTGCAGGGAGGGCTGGTAGTGCCCTCACGCCAGATCTGCCCTCTCTGGGGCTGTTGGGGAGGGTCCAGGTATTCACCAATGCTGCCTGGTGCCTCGCTGGAGGGCAGAGCTGAGGACCTGGGCCACAACCTTCCTCCAAGGCTCAAGCACGAGCACTCTCACCTGCAAACTGTGGTGGGCTTCGCACCCCCTGCCCACCTTCTCAGGGGTCTGGGAGAGTCAGTGGGCGAACGTGGGAGGGTACACTGTGAGATGCAAAGGCGGAACTGCACRGGGGGGCCACCATCTGCCCCAGAGTCACCCATTCTCTTCTCAGGCCCAAACCTCGGTGTCTAAACCTACCACCCAAATCTCTCAAAAGTCATGACATGCCCACTGTCCTCTGACATATAGCTGCCTACAAACTCAGGGCTGAAGGTACAGTGCCCAGAGCCACAAAATCAGCAGCTGTCAGCTCTACTTGGGAGGGAGACAAGCAGGTCACGCGTAAACACCTGGCTCTCACTTCAGGATTCCTTTCTCTCTTTAAAGTTAGACGTTAACACATCAAGTTTGAAGTACTAGTTAAAGAGAAGTAAATGCAAAAAACAATCCATCAGGGCTGGGGCAGAACACGTGCCTACCATGCATGAGGTCCTGGGTTCAATGCCTAGCACTGCAAAAATAAACAAACACAACAAAAGCAGACTCTGTCAAATATTAAGTCCTGGAGTAAATAACTGACGACCAGGAGACAGAGACAGGGGCRGCCCAGAGCATGGAAAGACAGAACTTGCCCTTCAGACACCACCTCCAATGGCCCCGAGKGTGAGCACAAACCCTAGGGAGCTGCCCAGCTGCCTGTCACTCTCCCTGGAAGCCCCAGTGCCACCCAGGAATCCTCTGTGTGCCTAGGAGCCAGTGGGGCTCTGGAACTTTCCAGACCCTTCTGCTTTCTCAATCCCCTGTCCCCAGAAACCCAGGCCCAGAATGTGTAGTCTCTGGAGTCCATTCAAACCTTGGCCCCTGGGGCCAGGGCTGTGTATTCTGCCAAGCAGAGGTGTGCAGAGCACAGCTCAGGCAGGGAAGGTGGTGTGCCCAGCACCCATGCTGCCAAGATGACCACTCAACTCCCAAAGAGCAGCAGGTGCTGCCCACGTGCTGGCTTGACCACGAGGCAACCTCGCTGCTGCTGGCTAGGCAGTCACTGGCCAAGCAGCAAGCCACTGCAGACAGCTGGCATGCAGCACCCTCTCATGATGCTCAGTCCCTCGACAAAGGGCTTGCTGGCAGGTGGAGGCAGGAAGGCCATGGCCAGTCCTGTGACCACCCTTTCCTCAGAGTCCCTGGAGAAGTGTGACACAGAGCCCTTCCAAGGGCACGAAGAAGGAGGAAATGGAAACATCTGGCAACAGGGATGGCTTCTTGGGTCCTTTGCTTTGCACACCTGACCTTTAAGGACAACACCTACTTTGGTTGTGTCAGAGGTGAAAGATGTTCATCTGTGTCAGAAATAGGAACTCTGAGCTTAAAGACCCATTTCCCAGGCTGAGGGTGACAGTGCACCTTTACTGCAGGGGTGCTACTCAGACCTAGGAAGCCTGCTCCTCAGAAAGAGAAGTGTCTGTGGGCACATGGCAGCTGCCACAGAAGCACCCCTCCCCCACAGCTAAGGACAGCCCTAGGCTGGGAGTTTGGCATCTTGCAACACACTGGGTGTGTCACAACACCACAGGACTCAGCTTGCTTAGGGACATCGGGAAGTGGGGACAGGGTGATTTCAGTCAGGGTACGAAGCTAGGATGGACTGTCTCCCAGGATGGAAACACTCTCTGTATCTTCTCACCTCCACACCCACAGGAGTCTCAGGRTGGGTCTGACCTCCTCAAGAAGAGGGTCAGAATGAGGGTGAGGCACATGGCTTTGTCACACTTATTACCTGACCCTCAGATACCATGACATGCTATACAGTGTTGTCTGCTATGACATAATCATATATTTAGAAAGCCAAAAAATGCATAATGCTTTTGTCAAGCAAATAAGAAAGGACAAAATCTTTCTGGTCAGTGAAGGAAGGTCACGAGGCTGAGAACGCTGGTCCCCCATGCTCCATCTGATTCTGCCACAGAATACAAAGAGACCCCAATTCAAAAAGGGCCTTGCAGCACCCCTCACTCCCACCTACAGCAGTGGGTAGGTGGTGGGTGAGAAGTGATGTGAGCTACGCTCACATTAACACCCTCTTCAAGCTGACCACAGACTCACCTGCCTTGTCCACCCCAGGATCCAGTGCTCTTAGTAGTAGGAGTAGAAGCATTAAGCCCACCTTGGACCCAAGGCTGCAGGGGCCTGAGCAGAACACTCCTTCTGGCTGCCCTGAGGCGACTCAGTACCTGGCCACAGCTCCTACCACCACCCTTCCATGTCTAGAAGGAAAACCAGCAAGAGTCAGTGTGTCCTCAACTACTAGGCTCTATGGAAGTGGGAAGACACACAAGATGCCCTAACACAGAAGTCCACCCTGGAAGAACTTCCCATTCGGTTCAGTGGAAAAGGTTTGCATACATGACTGCAGAATTTCAGGGCTAGAGGGATCAGAAAGGTCATGTAGTCCAAGGCCTGCACAGGGCCAACGGGAGCTGGCACCCAGCAGTGACCACAGAAGACAGTGGAGAATAGACTGGCCTGATACCAAAGCAAATCAGGTGTGAGAGGAGCACAGGAGAACCCAGAGATGGTGACCTGCCAGAGGTCTAAGAAAGGCACCCAGGCTGACAGATGCAGAGGCTGGCCTGGGGCATGTTTAGATGGGCAAGTGGAAGGCCTAGGCCAGCTCCCAAAGCAAGGGGAGCCTTGGGTTCATGGGCACCCAAGTACATTTTCCCAACACTGTCTCCAACTCAGACTAGTGTCTTCTTGGTTCTCTAACCTCACCCTGCGGAGGAAACTCCACCCAGCCAATAGTGGCTGGCTCAGCACACCCATCACAGTGAGCAGCGGGGGGCCAGTGAAAACACATCCTGAGTTCTAGACTTTCCTGGTCCCTGCTGCTCAGATGATCCTGCCACATCCAACCCCACTGTGTCCTTGGCCCATTCCTCCAGGAAACCACTATGCTTCTCTAGCCTACAGTGCTGTCTCCATCTCTATCTCTGTAGGCCAAACACTATACACAGAGGTCCTCTCCAGCAGAACCTCAGGACACTGGCTGGAAATGAAGCTGGGACAGGAGCATCTTGTGAAGGGCTTACAGGGCTATACACACTGGACACAACAGAGTCCCCTGCAGCCAGCCTCCCAATCCTCCCTCACTACTCTTCCTCCACGGCCAGAGAGTCTGCTCTCTTCCAGAATTTATTCTTATCTTGCAAATTATTTACTCAAGAATGCTAAAACTGGACTACTTAAAGGAAGAGCTAATCTGACCTCCTTCTACTTAAAGATGAAGAGACTGAGACCCAGAGGAGTGGGTCTTAGTTTGTAAATAACTATTTTCATACACTTGAGCCCATGCCTAAAAAATGAAATAGCTTTTATGTTAATGTAGAGTGTGGCTGGCCAAGGGTCATTCCAGTTAGGAAGCTGGCTGACCTTGGGATGCCTTTTCTCCTCTAGGTTTTGGTACCTTTATCTCCAAAATGAAGAGATCAGATCAGATACSTGTTAACTTCCAGTTTAGCATTCCCTGGGCCTTTTGTTTCAAGAATTCTAAGCTGACCTACCCTCCACCTCTTTGTATCCCTCACCCAAATTAACCAGCACCAGCCTGCTCCTGGGATTTCTGCTGTTCATGGAAACGTCAGTGTCCAACCTCACCTGTTTTAATTCTTTATCTCCATAAAGGGAGAGGTAGTGTGGGACAAATGGCAAAGGCCTGCAAAAGGCCAAAAGCTAGCTCTGCCTCACTCGGGATAACTAGCTCGCTGGGCAGAGGAGGCTGGCGCGCGTGGACCAAGCTGGTGGGTACCCTTGGGGGCGGGCCTCCAGCTGCTCTAAAGGCGGCGCAGCTCCACCCAAGGTCTCCCAGGACTTCTGCAAGTCCCGCTGCCTCAGGGTCCCCTTCCTACGGCAGGTGAGGTGGAGGTGCCCACCTGACCTCGGGGAGGCAGAGCTTCCGGGCCGCAGGAACCCGGCCAGGGCTGACTGGCACGGCCGCCCCAGCCCACCGTCCCCGGCCCCCGCTCACCCTCCGGGCCTTCTCCCACAGCTGCTTCAGCTTCTCCATGCGGAACTCCTCCCCGGGTTCGCTCTTCGCGGGCGACTCGGGCTCATTCTTCTCCCGCGAGTACTTGCCGCCGTGGGTCGCCGCAGGCCAGGGCCCGAGCAGCAGCAGCAGCGCCAGCAGCAGGGGCAGGGACAGCGGGAGCCCGCACGGCCCAGAGACCCTCTGCCTCCGCGGCGCCATCTTCCTCTGCGGCGCGGTCCCCACCTCGCGCCCGCCCGTCAGGACTCCCAGGCCCCGCCCACCTCCCGCGCGGCCTCTTGGGAGTGAGCTGATTGGGCGACGCGCGGGCGTTTCCTAGCAACCTGCCGCGGGCGGGGGCGGAGCCTGGAGGGCTGGGGGTCCTCTGCCGCTGCCCGCCCGAGCGCAGGAGAGTCCGCGGCCCCTCCGGTGCGGCAGGTTCTGACCGCGTGCTGGTCCCCGCCGGGCCTGGGCGTAGCTCTCTCGCCCTGGGACCCCAGGGGTCGCTCCTCGCCGAGCGGAAGGGCGCGTGGCAGCCAGGCCCCGGGGTGGGGGGGGGGAGGGTGGCACCTGCCGCAGCGCTGCCTCCCTCAGCCTAGTCCCCCTGCCAGGTGTGCGTGACCTGGCCGCTGTCCCCACCTGCCACATTTCAGTGGATCCACCGACTGAACGTCGGGGCTTGGCGGTGCCCTGGGGCAGAGTGGGAGCCAGAGGGAAGGAGGGAGCCACAGATGCGGAGGCCAGGGGGCTGAGGGTCTAGTAGAGCCTGGGTGCCGAGAGAGCCCACAGTGAGGACGTCCTGACGGTCTCAGGTCCAAGGGGCACTGAGGCAAAGCGAGGGTGGGCGTCTGCAGGGGAAAGCTGCGTCCTATACTTTTCCAGGAAGGGCTGCCCTGTCTTGAGAGCCATCGTGTTGATTTGTCCAGCTGTTTGTCCCAGGAAGAAGGAGGCTCGGCCTTCCTCTCCGGGAGCCAGCAGCTAGCCCGCTGTTCCGCTGTTAATACCCACTTTAGGGTTAGGTCAGACTGACCACGGTATCAGTGTAGACCCTGTGAGAACGGATGTTCACTTTGACCCTGGTTCAGGTCTGAAGGACAGGCGCTCCTCACCAGCTGCAGCTGGGCTCTGGTGGGTGCTTCTGGGAGCCAGGCACCCCCCAACCCCCCCCACCCCCGTCTTCAACACGGCGTCCAGGGCTCCGTCTTCGACAAACTGTCTGGGATCCCAACTTGGACACAACATCCCAGGCTCCTGCTGGCCACTGAGGAACCCCAGGGGAGGTGGAAAATAGGCCAGCTCTGTCTGCTCAGAGGGCCRCACCTGATGCAGCAGGGTCTGGCAGTGTTGTCTAGCTGTTCTCCCAAGTGGGAGCCATATRGGTGTGTGGACACTGGCTGGTTTTGTTTGTTTGTTTGTTTAGACTGCCTGTCTGAAGATGTAGGTACCATGCAGGTAGCTTCCCATCAGCTTTTTAAACCCCTCACTCTGTGTCTTGAGCAGTCAGCTAAGGGTTCTTAAACTCTTAAGGGAAGCTCCTCATGTGAAAGAGAAAGAGAAATGGAAACAGACAACAGCAAAAAAGCAACTGGGTGAAAACAAACCATGTAGGTAGGGCCTGGGGGTGTAGCTTGGTGGTAAAGGGTTTGCCTTACAGGTCCTGAGATGGACCCCCAGCACCACAAACAACAAAACCAAGACCAAACAAAGGGAAAAACACACACAGGAAAAAGAAATTGGGAAAAATGACCATCACTATTATCCTCACAGAGACCCATGGAACATACACACACACAGAAAATATATGTATAAAATGTATAATGTCATGTATAATATATGAGAATAATATATGTAGGTCAGAGAACAGTGAGTTTTGGAAACCAAAAGCCAAATAGAATGATAGGAAGATTTTGAAGAAAATGCTGATTAAGTGGATTGAAATCAAGAAGAGATGACTAATAAGAAAGAATAAATAAGGAAAAAATTAGATTTCCAATTCAGGAGAAGTATTATTTGATTAACAAAGTTTCACAAAGAAAGTACAGATAAAATAGGGAGAAATAAACTATCAAAGAAATGATTTAAGACAAGTTTCCAGACCTACAGGGGATGAACTGTTGGGAGGTTGAAGGGACCCACCAAATGGCTCACAATGAGTAAAAATAGACCTCTAACACCCAAACACATTTTTGTGAACATTGTAGCAAAAAGATTTCTATAAGCTCTAAAGGAGAAAAATAACTACATGGAAAAGGCAGAAATGTCTTTAGGCTTCTCAACAGCAACACTTGAAGTAAGAAAGCAGCAGAGCAGTAACTTGAAAATTTGGAAGGAAAATGACTTCCAGTCTAGAATTCTACACCCAGCCAAGCAAACTATCAAGAAAATATGAGAGTACTTAATGAGAGTCTTTCAATAAAAGACATTTTACACACACAAGTGCTCCACCAAAGTGAGAAAACAAGAAAGAGGAAGACGTGGATACAAGTACAAGATCCTGTATGAGAGAGGGAAGAAAAGAATCCCCCAAGGATAGTCATGGAGGGTGACCTGTGGCAGAGATTACTCAAGGGATAGACAGGTCAAATGCTGTCTTTATCATTATTTCACATTTTTAAACCTAAAGACAGAATGCTCACGTGGGCCTGGCTCAAATTCTCACGTGAACGTGTTCCCCAGTTCCTGATGCTTGGAACCGCAGAGGCCACCCATTTCTCCTGACATAATGTTTTTCTTGACCATAGTCCTGAGAGCTACAGAAGAAGAGGCTCCAGATTGGCCCCTTCTTGTGCATATTCCTGTTGACCATTGGTACCTGGACCACACCAGAGCCTTCAAATGTCTTGGCTCTGACAAGTTCCCTTTGTCCTTTGCTCCTGATATCCTCAGAGAGGCCCCTTAGAACCCACAGAGAAATGGAGGACAGACTGGAATGAAAGCCTCATTCTCCTGGCTTTCGCCTGGTCTTCTGGTGGTGTAGGGTCCTGGGACTCCTTTTCTTGTACAGCCACCTTTGGGTGCCCTGCTCAGCTTTCCAGAACTAAGCACCATGTGTAGGAGAAGCAGACCCAGTTGATGAGACTGTGAATAAGGCAGGTGATGATTCAAGTTGGAATAGTGGTTCCCTGRCCTAGGGGAGGAAGGAGGATAGCAGGAGGTGGATGTGCAGAGAGGCTTCTAAAGTACTGTCCATGTATAATTTCTTGACCTGGGTGGTGGGTACGCSTGTGCATTCTGTCATTCTTCAAATTGGGTGTTCACATTGAAAGATTAATTTGTATACATTATATATTTTTTWAAAAATCTTACAAAATCGCCTTAGTTCATGCAAGAGTACAGAGGCCTGACACACAGCAGGGGTCCAGGTGAGGGCCGACTCTCTTCCTGGGCTCATCCTACAGGGCTGAACATTTTTTTCACTTTCTCAATTCAGCTCAGCTGTCTCGAGGCCCTAGCCTCCACCATGCCCAGCCCCTGCTGGTGCTGAGGATTCTGCGTAGAACCTGGCTCTGTAAGTGGTAGGGGAAGATGTGGAAAGTAGACAAGCATGGCCCTGAGAAAGCCCCAGCAGGAGAGCCCCCGTGAGGACAGAGAGTGAGGCTTTGGCTGTCCAGTTGTGAAGGGGCCACAGGCCAGCTGATTTCTTGCTCAAGGAGAGGAGCAGGGCTGCCCRCCTGTCTCCAAGCAGAACTCTCTGAGCAGAACGCACCTCGCTGTTCAGGATTGTCTGATCTTCAGAAGCAGGTGTCCGGGGCTGGCTTACTCCAGCTGTCGAAGGGCACTTGGTTCAGTGGGCACCTGCATCTGCAGCTCTCAGGAGCCCCCAGTATTGTTGCTGAGTGGTCAGGTGGGTGAGAACTGGTTCTGGATTTCCTCCTGCTACAGCCAAAGAGCAATTTGTTTTGTCCTTGAGTTTGGAATGTAAATGCTGTTCTCACCAGGCAATGGCAGGGAGGCACCAGTGGACAGGTGAGCGCCAGGTGGCCGCGAGGCAGGTCCTGTGGTGGGAACACAGTGCCAGGAGGCAGGGCAGTGCTCAGGCAGAGGCCGGCCTGGAGGAATTGAGGGTGTTGCTGGAGAGAAGCCTTTGTCCAGAGGAAATGGGGAGCCCTGGAAGTGTCCTGAGCAAGGGGTGGCCAGGTCAGATTCGTGTAGAAGGCACAGAGGCCAGGTGGCAGGTGATGGTGACTGGATGAGAAAGATGCCGCAAGGTGGTGAAGGTGGAGCAGCCAGATGAGGGTAGAAGGGACTGAATTCAGTGACTAAAGTCTGGACTGATGCCAGGCAGCAGGTGGGACGTTCCCAGGACAAGGGAACAGTGGGGAAGAGCGTGTTTGGAGGAAGAGAGAGGCCAGTTTGACATTTTAAGCAGGGAGGGTCCCTTGGATGTGTGTGGAGCTCTCCAGGGCATTTAACCAAGTAGATCCAGCTCTCAGAAGAGGGGTCAGGAGAGAGGAGAGGGAGCTGACACGGAGCAGTGGACGCCTGAGATGGGGTGGGCAGCTCTCAAAGGGAGGGCAGGGAGGTGGAGCTCCCAGGGCAGCTCACAGCAGCCAGGTGGAGGGACACCAGGAGGAGTCCTGCTGCAGACCAGGTGAGGGAGGCCAGGGAGAGAGCACAGCACCACCGCAGGGGCTGGCCCCGAGGGAGAGCAAAGCCCAGGTCAGGCGTGGCCTCTGCCTATGCAGCAGGTGGGCTCTGTGTAGGAAGCAGGGTCTGAGAGRGGTTGGTGGGGTGATTTGTGGAGGGTGGAGTGGACCGGGTGAAGGGAACTTGTTTGCTTCAATGGTGTGGGGGTTCTTCAGCTTCATCCAAGGGGCGCCCCAGAGGTAGGAATCACATCTCCCAGTCGCCCTGTTTGGGGCCAGAGCCACTGTGTGCCCCCTTCCTGTCAGTAGGCCACTGGGTCATGCTGGAGACTGACCTCCTGGGTCAGGCAGTTTCCCTCTGGCTGAGGCAATTCCCCACAGGGACAGCTGTGAGCAGCGGGCAGCTGGGGGTGGATGATCCAGCTGCTGCAGGGCATCTGGGTGGGCACTGAGATCACCAGCATCCTCTGCTAGCCACCACTGCCTGGAGACACGTAGGGCCCAGCTTCCAGGCCTCCGCCAGCACCCCAAGTGGGTCCTTGAAGTAAGACTACCCTCACCTGCTCCCCCCAGGCAAAACCCAAGAGCCTCACTGCTTCCCACCACTCCTTGCCACTCCAGACCCCAGGGTGATCTCATTAGGCTTCTTTCTCTGAATGTCCAGCTCAGACCCCCCAGGTGACCCCTGA